CTCTCCACTTGGGCATAGAATGGAGCAAGATGATGAATTTTACCTAGAACTAAGTTGTGCTATATAACAAAGGTGAAGGAATTATGTAGATATAATTGAGGTCTCAAGCCAGTCCACTTTGAGTTAATGAAAAGAGAGTTTATCTTGGAAATAGGCTTTACTTAAAAGTGTCTGGGCCCTTCCTGAAGGAAGAGGTTCAAAAAATAAAAATCTCTGGAGGGGCCACACAGCAGGGAACTGAGAGGGGCATCTTGTTTCCAAAAGCAGCCCCAGCCTCATCCCTCAATCACAAGTTTCTGTCAACAACTGCTATGATTTCAATAAGTGTCCCTCAAAGGCCATTGCTGAAGGCTTGTTTCCCATCCTGTAGCTCTATTGAGAGTCGGCAGAATCTTTGAGATGTGGGGCCCGGTGGGAGGAATTTAGGTCTCTGGGAGTGTGCCTTCTCTTAAGAAGACTGTGGTTCATAACCCACTTGAATCAAAGTGTGGAATATGATATGTCAAGAAATTTGTAATGTTTTGAACAACCAACAATAAAAAATTAAAAAAAAAAAAAAAAGAAAAAGGCTGTGGAACTCTGACACTTTTCTCTTCCTCTCCTTTTGCTTCCTGGCCACAATGAGTAAGCAGGTCAGTCTACCATACACTCCCCACAAGGATCTGCTGCCTTTGCCACATATCCGAAGAAAAAGGGTCAATTGAGCATGGACAGGAACCTCTGAAACTATGACCCAAAATAAACTTTTTTATAATTTTAAGTTGATTATCTCAGGTATTTTGTCATAGGAACAGAAAAACTAACACAATAACCACGTGAGCTTGAAACAGAAACCCAAACTTCAGTCAGCAATGTAGCCCAACTGACTTTAGGAATTTAGCCTTGTGAGAAACTTTCAGCAGAGAACCCAGCTCAGCTGTGCTCTAATTTCTGGACTCCATTAGATAATAAATAGCTGTTATTATAGGCTACTAAGTTCGTGGTAATTTGTAATTCAGCAGTAGAAAACTCAAACATGGGGAAATTTGTACTTGAAAAGGAATTAGGAGGGTTTCAAATGCCAAAATAAGAGGTGATCCAGTTGTAAATTTTGTCTTGCTTTAGCATAGAAGGGTAATATGAGGGGACAGCAATCAGAATGTGGGGGGAGACCTGAAACCAGGTTCTAAGATGGAAACTCCTATGTTTTGAATGTGTCCCCCAAATTTTATATGTTGGAAATGTAATTCCCATATCCATACATCAATGGTACTCAGAAATGGAGCCTGTGGGGGGGTGATGGGTCATGGGAACTCTTCCCTCATGAATAAATAAGTCTACTCATGGATTAATGAGTTGCCAAGGGCGTGTTATCAAAGTAAGTTCTCCCTGGCTTGCTTGCTCTTTCTCTCCATTTGGTACCCCTCACCATGCCACTGTGCATCAGAAAGACTCTCACCAGATGCTGAGACTCTCACTCAGAAGACACCAACCAGTTCAGTGTTCCTGGACTTCCCAGCCTCCAGAACAGTGAGCCAAATAAATGTCTATTCTTTATACATTACCCAGTCTCAGACACTTTCTTATAGCAACAGAAAATGAACTAAGACAGGAATCTAAAGGAATTCTTAAACTGAAAAGAATGTGCTTGGCCTCTAAAAGAGAAGTTGATTTTTGTCTTCAAACCCTCCATGAGCCGCCCTAGGTAGAGGTATTGGACATGCCTAGGTGACCAGAAGCACAAGTTGCAATGTGATCTTAACAGAAGGAAGATTCTAACACTCCAAGATGTCTAGAAACAGAAAAGGTTGCCTTTATTATTTAGATCCCTAGTCCTTTCCCCAAAAGTATATAACACACAATTGAATTAAATTATAAATGAGAATAAGAGGAGAAATCAGGGTGAATAAGTAGTGATTGTATTTAAAATAGAAGTAGTGATTTTTAAAAACTCATGAGCTACCAGCAATGGGCAGGGGGTTAAATTTTAAAGATTGGTGCAGTCAGCAGTTCCTGTGTTTCTCAATTTTGATGTCACTTCAAACAGTTGGTATCACTGTTCCCAACAGATGCTAAGGATGTAGAGATGAACTAGGATGATATTGGACCAGGGACAAAATAACACCTGCATACTGCCATTATTGCATGTTTCCCAAAGGAAAAGCAAAAATTGAGAAAAAGAAAGACTCCAGTATAGCCTAATACTTTAGCCCTAAAAATTAGCATGGAATTCTAGCAAGTATGATGGCATCCCATGGAAGACTCCTTTCCCCTGATGACCCAGTCCCAAGCTCTCTAAAGACTTATTCTTACAATTCACTCCCAAAATCCAAACTTGAGTCTTGGACCTTACCACACCCAATTTGTTAGAAAACTATAATTGCTGGGGAAAAGTGGAAGAGACTAAGCAAGATCAAAGAAAGCCAGGAAGGAAATCCGGGAGCTAGAAGGAGTTGACCTTATTGCCCACTGCAGACTTTCCTCCACCCAAGAAGAGCCAGCCTGGCTGTCTGTCATCCCAGGACTTCCCTTGACTACTGCCCCAGGAGTTCTCTCATCTCTCTGTGCATTCAAGTCCAGTCCCTTCACTTCCCAACAATCATCTTTCTTGTTTGATTGGCTTACTTAGTCGGAGCACATCCTCCAATAACTTTCTGTAAGAAGGTAAAAGAGGTTGGTTTTAAACTTGCCTTGCTAAGAAGACATTAGTCAGTCTTCCTCCTTGTTTGACATTTGAACGAGTATAGCATTCTAAGATGGAAATATTTTTCTCCGAATGAAAAAGCATTACTTCATCAACAGCTAACTTTCTATATTGATCTTGAGAACCCTGAAGATAAATTAAGCACTTGGTCCCCTGTACCTAGTCTATTTCTTTCTGTGCTTTGCTGAGTTTTTTCTTATTCCTAGGGGGTGGAAAATGCCTTCTTCGTGAGATCTTTCAATCTGGAAATTCACATCTTTCACTTCTAAAAAATTTTTCCTTCTCTCATTTTTATTAGTTCCCTGTCCTTTCCTCCCATACACAGGCTTTCTGGGGCTACCTTGGAGTGGATGGTAAGAGGAAGAAGAGCATTGTATGCAGTAGGTTTTTGTGCTATATATCTCTGAACCCTATCCAGAGCACCAGGGTGGGAATACCTGCTTCTCCCAGCTTGGATTCCAGGCAATCAAGACCTTCTTTTCCAGAGGCATTGCCTGATAGAAAAAATATGGGCACATCCCTAAATATTTGTCCAAATTGTCCAAAGCCAGGGGGAGAGCAAGAGCTCAGCAGTTCTCAGAACCATCCTCTCACTACAGAGCCTACCTGACTGATGCAAGCAAAATTTACCAATTCAACGCTATTTATTATAGCATATCTTTATGCCTGCCCTCCATTTCCCTTTCCAAAAGAATTCCTCCCTGTGCATCTTTCTTACTCAATTTGTTATAAGTAATTTTATTCCCTCCAGTTTTTTCCAGAACATGTATTTGCTGAATCTCATAGTCTGATTATCTAATTTTATAATTTGTCTTTTCCTAATTGCCATCTCTTATCTTTCTGTACTGGTGTCTGAAACACTTCTGGAACTTCATATCCCAACACATTTTTAAATTTTTCAATGTCTTCTATCATATTTTTTTAAATATTTTTAATTGTAGATAGACACAATACCTTTATTTTATTTAGTTTTTTTTTTAATGTGGTGCTGAGGATCAACCCCAGTGCCTCACACATACTAGCCAAGTGTTTTACCACAGAGCCACAACCACAGCCCTCTTCTGTCATATTTTTAATCTCCAATAATCCTTTGTTATCTCACTTTTTCTTTTATAAAGCAAGCTCCTCCTGTCTGGAAGAATAATATTTTGTCCATTTCACTAAAGTGAAGTTCTAAGTTTTCTGCTTCCCATGATATCTCTATGACTTTTCTTTTTCTGAAGTTTATGTTTGCCTTTGATCTAAATTCTTGCTATTATTTTTGTCATTCTCATTGGAAGCATTCCTCAAATTCCTGGTGGCCCTCAGCTGCCCATAATCTATCCCAGACAGTCCCTCCTGGCCTTTAAACACCTGGCTCCCTGCTTTCACACCCCTAGCCAAGTCCTACATGTGGGCTATAATTCCTCAGCACTGTGCTACTCGTGGCCATAGCTGGAGTTAGGTGAGTGACTTCTCCAAGACACTCAGAAGGTGGTCAGAAGCATGGCATGCACAAAAGGGCAAAAATTGTCAGCTTAGGAATGACTGTGACAAAAATCCCCAAAACTATTTTTTCTTTGCTCCTCCTCCTCCTCCTCCCTCCTCCTCCTCCTCCTCCTCCCTCCTCCTCCTTCTCCTCTTCCTCCCCCTCCTCCTCCTCCCCCTCCTCCTTCTCCCCCCCTCCTCCTCCTCCTCTTCTTCTTCTTCTTCTTCTCACCAATTCTTCTTCAGTATGTATTGCACAAAAGAACTGTCCTACAGGTGACTTCTTCCTTCTCCTCACTTCCAGAGACTGCTGGCTACAACTCTGTCTTCACTATCTGACTACACAGTACCTGGAGGATCTGTCCAAGTCTCTGTGACTTGGCCAGGCACAACATAGCTGCTGGGTTTTATATGCCCTGAAAAATATGTTTTCCATATGCTTTCTCCATGGCTGATCATTTCTACAAGGAAAAGTACAGAGACACTCAGAATCTTTTTGCACAGCTAAACTTCTTGCTGTGCTGCTCTTTCCTGAACTCTCTAATTTCAGACTTGCTCATCAATTTCTTAGAAGATAAACTCAGTGATAGTTGAGCACCCATCAAGAAGCAGCACAGCTGTCCTAGATCCTCATGAGAACCCTCCCCACCAAACATCAGGGACCTCATTTCCAGAGGAGTAACCACATACCAAAGCTCTGCTTGGGTTTGATGCCAAAGCCTATGTTCACCACAGCTGACCATAGAACTTACTTTTGTTAACCCTCAGAATTTACTTTTGTTCTGCCAAGAGAATGCAGTTCCCAGGGGGACAGGGTGCCAGCATTCCACATGGAACTGCAGGCAGGGCCATGTGTGCAGAGAGAAGACCCCAGAAGATGCTGCCTCTCCTGCTCATCTTTCTCCTGACAACCGCTGGTGAGAAGACCTGCCTCCGTTGCTGGCCACAGATGCCTGCCCTGCTGGACTATGACCTGCAGATTCTCTGGGGCACCTCACCACCACCAGTAGAACTCTCCCAAAGCCTCCACTCCTTCTTCCTGGAGGATACTTCCTCGATAAAATCCTCTTATCTTGGTGAGGTACTTCCAGGATTCCAGGATCCAGGACTCACCCTTTCACCCAAACTGGATCTTACTTCCCTGGCTTTCCTCATACATCTCGCCCCTCAGATAAGAACCATCTGGAAGAAGAAACAGCCAAATTCTTCAGCCAAGTTGACCAAATCATTCAGAAGTTACGCAATAGTGAGGAGGCCAAGTGTCCCAGGGCCCTGGGGCTTGGGTTGGCAATATCCCATCCTCCAAAGCATTCCCAGAGGACTGCTTTGGTCATAGGGTGGGAGATAGACACAGCATGACTCTGTGTCCTCTATGGAATTTCTGTTTGAAGACAAGTGTGAAATCCCAACATGGAGCAATTCACACAACTGAGCTCCTTTTCCCCCCCCCTGCTCCAGATAAATCGTCACTTCTGGAAGAGATTCGTGTATATAAGGGTCTCCTTGCCGAGAGGCTGAATAGGAGATCAGAGGAGTTGAAGCAGAAGGGTGAGAGATGGGACTTCCCCTGCCCACGGCCCAGCTCTTCACCCCCATGGAGACCCAAGGCCTGTAGAGTCCAATCTGAAGCCCCTCCCAGACTCTTCCCAGGAACCCCCAGCCCTGACCACAGGCTGGACACCTGCCACACCTTCCCCAGTTCCATGTCCTGCTCACACACCCAACCCCTCCTGGCTCTGTCTGCTTCCCCAGTGTCTCAATTTCTCCACCATCTCACCTTTCCGGGCAGCCTGCAATGAGTCCTGTGGTGAGTGTGCTTGGGTACTGGACTTGACTGAGGGACAAGAGCCCCCCACCCCCCGTGGCTTCCTCTAAGGCTCCTGCCCATCCCTCTCATAGACATCAGATCCACAATAGAGGTCACTGCGTGTGCAGACTGCAATACCCACATCTTATCCTGCAATGACGCTGCTCTCTGCCCAGGTCAGTGGTCCCTGCTGTGTCCAGTGTACCCTCTCCTGGCCCTTCACCCCTGGGGCTATTATTGTTTCTCTCCCTCTTTTTTCTCTGTCCAACTCAAAACTTTTCTTACTCAACTTCCTCCTCTTGGGTGACAGTAGTGCCTTTGGGATTTCTTAACATTCATGTGTCCAGGTTTAGAGCCTGAAAGCCATCTACCTCTAGGTCCTCAGAGTCAGCATGCTTGGAAATGTGCCCAAATCCATTTCCACTGCCCCCAAACCTGCTCTGCCTTCATGGTCCTTTTCAGCATATGTCTTTACTCAAGCCCTTCACTTCCTAAGCCAGGAATCTCCCTCCATCCTAAACCATGAGGTCCCCAAGCCTTGCTAAATAACTTTTAAATGTGTCCCTATATTTTCATTCTAACTTGCGCCCCTCTTCCTCAGACATCCTAATCTCTCACCTGAGTTATGGCAACCTTTCATAACTGGCTTCCCTGACCCTCCTGGCCACCACAAAACTCTTTCTCAAGGAGAAAATTTGCCCATGATACTCCCTGTTTATAACCTTTAGTAGCTCCAAATATCCCAGATAACATCCAACCTCCTCGGGAAGCCCCATGTGAGCAGACCCTGCCCATCTCCCATGGCCCCGACTATCCAGCCACACCAAGCTGTGGACACTCTGGACAGATGCGCAGCTTCATGCTCCCATTCCTGAACATTTCTTCAGCCTGGAACACAGGTTTGCCTGTGAACCATGGAAATGAACCTCTATTTGTCTTTCACAGTCCCAATCAGAGGTCCTATTTTCTGAGCAATTTTCTGATGCACTCCCACCCCCAGGGACTCATCATCCTTTCTCCCCATCCCATGCGCTGTCCTAGTTCCCACACAGTAATTGTTTCCTTGTCCTCTTCCTAGAGAGCAGGGACCATGTCTCATTCATCTCTTGAGGTGTGCTGGGCACAGAAATAGTGCTCAGCCAAGGTTTGCCAAACATGACTTGAGTAGGTGGATAATAAAAGAAGGAAGGGATGTGGGACCTTCTCTGGAGCCCAGACAGTCCCTCCTGGCCTTTAAACACCTGGCTCCCTGCTTTCACACCCTTAGCCAAGAAAATGAAGTCCTACATATGGGCTATAATCCTCAGCACTGTGCTACTCGTGGCCATAGCTGGAGTTGGGTGAGTGACTTCTCCAAGCCCCAGGGTGCCCAAGGAAGAATTCCTATTCCTTGACTGACCCATCTCCACCCTGTTTCCTGGCTCAGATGTTACCTCCTCTGGCTCAAGGGGAAGAAAAAGAAGGAAGCAGAAGAGGTACTGAGAAAGTAGAGCCCTGCCAGACTGTAGGCCTGCCACAGGGGAATAAGCAGGGTGCCCTGTGGGGAGCAAGGCCTGGAGGCCCCAGCTCTGGCCCCTGAACATAGCAGGTTCATGGACCAGAACATAGGAAGGCCGCACATCAGCCCCAAACACACAGGCACACCCAGGACCAGGGGCCCAGAATGTTTCCAGGCAGATTTGGCAGTGGGGACTCCCAGCAAGAGGTCAGAGAAACCAAGGGCAGAGTGGAAACCCCGCTTATTTTCTTTGCAGGAAAAACAAGGCAGCCACTCATCTCTTGGAAGTGGAAAGAAGTCACAGCAGCAGATGGAGGAAAAACAATCCACCTCCACGCTTGGTAACGTTTCCACTGATTCCTTCCATTGACTGCTCCCAAGTTCTGAGGCCCAAAAGACTGTCTCTCTCATGGGCTCCCTACACACATACATGTGTAAATAGTCCTTTCATTAAAACATCCTCTTTGTATTCTAATTGACTGTGCATTCTCTCTCCTGCTAAGACCAGGAATAAAACTAGATCATCTCCCTGGACCCTGTGTGGACTGCCATGTCTGGGGCCAGAGCTCTGAATGAGCAGCCTAGAACCTTGGGTTTCTATTTTGACTTCCAAACAGGGCTCTAGGTCTTCCCCTCTGAGTCTCAAGTTTCTCCTCTGAGCATGAGAATGAGGGAGGACTGGTTTATATTTGCTACGCAATATTTGTTCATGGCATGGATCCCAATTCAAAGGTAGGATACAAGGAATAAGAAATAGGTAGAAAGGAGATCTAAAAGAAGAACAAGAAATAAGGATTTAAATTCTGACGTTCCACAGACTTCTCCAGGCCTCCCATTCCCTAAGCCAGTGTCTCTCCTAAGCTTATTACTTCCAAATTCCTGAGAAATTTATAAATCTACCTGTGCACTGTTAATTGATCTCTGATAAATTGATTAAGCAAAGAGAGAAGTGATATCTTGAGAAAACTATAATTTAGAGAATTTTCCAGAGCTATTTATTGACCAGAGAGTGAAGACAACATCAGCCCAATAATCTGCTCAGACCACCAGAACCCATCTTGAAATCACCAGACTGATATTATTCCTGCATACCTTCCCTTAACTACCCCTCACCAAGTTTCCTTTAAAAGAAGGGCAGGCAACCCCAAGACTGCACCTCTTACCCATGAGATGGCCCTCATTCTCCCTTGAATGTGTATTCCTTGTTTCACCCCCAAAAGTGCCTCTCTCTTGAGATTACCTGGTTCTCACCTGAGTGTGTAGCTACTTTCCTCAATCAACCTCTGTCTATACCTGGCAGGTGTATGCAAAACTCTCTTCCACCACATAAGCCAAGAACCCTGCTGGTGCTGAGTCAGTTGTCTGAAAACTCTTCAGACACTTCATTGGAGATGCTTCTCCCATAAACAATCCTCCTCCTCAGTGACCTACCACCCTCTTCCCCAGAAATAGCTTCTTCTTTCCTAGTCTCCAAAGTAGTAAGAGACCTATACAAGTCTCTCCTTATTCCAAATCCAGAGATCAGGGCAGAGGTAGCCCAGGTGCCTCAAGGGGTTCCCATCTATGGGCATAGAACAGAAGAGGCAAGGTGCCAATTAAGTCCTGAGCAAAAGCAGAGACTAGCAGGAGGCCATCAGAAAACAGGCTCCAAGTCCCACCATCAATCAGCAAGGCCACCAAGTCCTAGCCAGGATGGCCAAAGTGCCCCCTGGTACTACTAGCCAATGAAGTCCCCTGGTCTTGCCTGTGTTGGGAGCTTTGTCACTTCCTGCTTCATGTCCCTCAATGCCCCTTTCCTTTTGAGGCTTCAAGGCCGCCAGGCTAAATGGAACTCTCTGCCTCTCCTCGCTGACACTCCCCACTCTCTTAGCCTGGTCCTAGTTTCGTCCTGAAACTAGCCAGGGCCCTTCTGCAACCTGGAGTTCTGTGGAGCCCCTGAAGGCCCCTGCCAGATTCAGGGTCCAGGTCATCAGATCTGCTCCTGGGCACAGAAAGGAAGTGGGTCTGGGACCAGAGCTCTGAATGAGCAGCCTAGAGTCTGGGTTCCTATCTTGACTTCAAAACAGGGCCCTGGGTCTTCTCCTCTGGGTTTCAGGTTTCTCCTCTGAGCATGAGAATGAGGGAGGACTGGTTCATATTTGCTACGCAATATTTGTTCATGGCATGGATCCCTAATTCAAAGTCCTTGCTCCTTTCCCTGCTTCAGTGTTCTTTCTTCACTGATACCCTGCTGGGGCCTTCAGCCAGGTTCCTAAAATAAGTCCTCTTGTGTCCTATGCCCTGCTGGGGCTCCCTCCTTGGAGCCCATGGCTGGACCCAAGAGCAGGCCAGTTTCAGTATCCCCATTCTGCAGTAAGGACTACTCTTGGGCATAGCTCAGGTCCTGCTAGAGGCCCTAGAGGCAATGGAAGTGGGTCCCCACCCCAGGTACCTCACCCAGCTGGGGATCCAGGATCCAGGAAGGCTTCCCTGAGGTAGTGTCTTAAACCTATGTGATTGTCCAGGGAAGAGCAGAAAAGGAGAGACAAAGAGTTCAGCACTGCAGAGGAATAACGGAGGTACAGAAACCTCCATTATTTCAAGAAACTCCAAGGTACAGGGTGTGGCTGGAGGAAGGAGCACAGGTGAGAAGAAAAAAAAGTGAGGCCCAGAGGAAGTCAGAGAGAAGAGTGCACTGAGCTCAAGAACACCAGCTGGGCAGGGAGGGCTAAGGAGGGGAGTGTGGGGACAGAGTGGTAACCATTCTGGCCAGGCCAGAGTTCACCAGGCAGCTGGCCTGACTCCAGGGTAGAGAAAGCTGCTGATCACCCAGGACATAGAGAAGCCAGATGCTCATGGTGGTGATGGTGTTTGTCTATTTGTGTTTAAACTGGGACCTAGGCCATTACTTAAAGTATCCAGGATGACTGTTTTCTGATGCATGCAGTAAAAATAGAAAGCCCTGGGCATAGTTTATATGAAGTATGAGTTATGTTTGTCTATGTGTCTGTGTGCATGCATTTCATATCAACAGAATTTTTATCATTTTGTGGGCATATTTGTATGAAAACTCGACATTTAGTTTTGCAAGAGTAGAAAGATTAAGGAATTTGGAATCAGATAAAAATATAGACTTGCTCAAAACATAGGCTCTGGAGGCCTTCTGCTTCTGGCTATGACAGAGTAGCTTAGCAGATCAACCCTCCGGGCAAAGGGAACATGAAATAAAATGCACCAAAAGAAAACATTAGAACAAAAAGCCTGCTTTGAAGCTTCAGAAGAGATAGGTCCCAAGTATCCAAAGTCTTGGAGAGAAGGGGAGCTCAGGATGTACCCAGAGTTCTGCTGTATGCATCCCATGTGCATAGGCCAGGCTACAGCAGCACAGGGAAGAGGCTGCAGGGGTGGGGTTGAGGGTGACCTTACAGTGGGAGGGAGCGTGCAGCAATTGTGGGACCTCAGAGTCAAAACTTGCAGTTCTAGCTCACCAAGACAGAACGTGAGGAGTCTAGATCTGAAAGTAGGAAGGTGCAGAAAAGTAAACAAATACACTGCATCTCTTTCCTCACCAACCCACTCCCGTGCAGCCTAGAGCTATAGACAGAGAAACAAAGAGAAAATTGTCTGAAATGCAATTTATCAGAGATTTGGATGCTAGAGAAATAATCCTTGGAGTTCATGACCCACATAGGAAGGTACTTTTGATAACTAGGCCAGGGGATTAATGGGGAAGGCTGTCCCACCAGAGACAGGCCAATCCCCACAAAGTATGAAACCCAGTCTCAAAGCACCTTGGCCCCTGACAATATTCATTGCACTTCTGGAGGAACCACAACTATGTCTGGTTCACAATGACCAGCATCCAAACAAATATTCACAGACATACCAAAATATAAGGGTCCCAAGAGAATTTGGGGAAAAAAAAGACCATAGAAACAGACTTACAAGTGATGGGTCTACGGTCGTTGTCAGATATGGATTTTAAAATACTGTGACTAGGGTGGCTCAAGAGCTATGAAACATAAAAATTTGCAATGTTTATGTATATAAGCACTTCAGCATTATCAGTAATATTCACAAATATGAATATAAATAAATAAACATTTTAGTATTGCTGGGTAAAAAAAAAATAATAAAATAAAATACTGTGACTAATGCATTGAAAATTATTTAAGATGTTTTTCCAACAAATGACACCAGAGCAATCGGAAATTCATAGGCAAAATGAGCTTTGACTGAAGTTCTATACATTATATAAATAACCAACCCAAAATGGATCAGGGACTTAGACGCAAAACATAAAAAACGAAGACAGGCAAAGAATTCTTACACTTATACCATAAGAATAACCCATGAAAGGATCTATGATGTGAACTGGACATTATCAAAATTGAAAACATTTGCCCTGTAAAATACCCTATTGAGAAGATAAAAAGACAGACGAGAAACTAGGAGGGAAGATTTTCAAACCACCATATCTGACAAAAGACTAGCATGTAGACCGTGTAAAAGACTCTCAAAACTCAACAGTAAAAGTCAAATGATCCAGTCTGAAAATGGGCAAAAGACAGGAGAGACTTTTCACAGAAGAGAATAGACAAGTGGTAATTCAGCACACACATCACTAGCCATCAGAAAAACGCAAACAAAACCACAGTAACACACCTGTGAAAGTTCTCCTGCCTCAGTGGGCACTGGAGGGTCTACTAACGGTTGGACATCTGTGCATGTTACTTGGTACTCTCACAATGACATCACCATCACATGCTTGTGAGCAAACAGAGCATGGGGATCCTCATATGTTGCTGGAAGGAACATGAAATGGTGCAGCCACTTGGGGTGTGTTTGGGGGGGAGCAAATATGCATGTGTGCCTGTTCTCCAGGGTCCACAGATTCCTGGGAGATTTCCTTGACAGGGTTTCATAGTAGCACTCTTCTTCACCAATGGGCAGAAGCCACCAATATCCCTGAATGTGAAAATTTCTTAATATACAGACCCTTTTTCAGGACTGGAAATGTTCTTGCATATCTGCAAGCCTTTTCGCTAGGTGAGTTATTTGAATTCATCAGTCGATTCACACCAACAGAGGTCAAATTGATCCAGGAAGGGGACAGTAAGTAGAGATGCCTGATCACAAAACCCTGACCCCCTGGTTTGGGATGAGAGAGAAATTCCTACACAACAAATTTCTTCCCAGGGAGGGTGCCAGGGCCAATCTGTGGCTCAGAGTCTAGTGAGGAGTGTACCTGAAGAAAGATCTCTCCAGCCTCAAGACAATTTTGAAGTCTGTCTTTGCTGTTTATTTAGATCACAGTCATGTTGTTTCCCTTCTCTCCACCCAGCTTCAGGCATGGCAGGAGACTGTCCTAGAATCCCATCACCCAGTTCCTGTGGACCCATCACCCAGTTCCTTCCATCCCCCAAGATCTGGAAGCAAACAAACCCTATAGTCAGTACCAGCTCTTCAGCCCAGATGGGAATTTCTGAGCCCCTGTGTGTCACCCAAAGCCAATGCTGGATGGGCAGCTGCAGGCTTATTTCAACACTTGGCTACATGTTAACTGGGTCTGACAATGAGTTTCCCAACTGCCCTGCGGCCTGCTTCCTGAGGAGAGCCATACACTCCTGCCCACCCTCGTTCACTACGGTGACTGTGTCATCTTGTTGGGCTGAACCGTTTCCTGGAATTCTGTGCCCTGGATGTTTCTGATTAGGCTAAACTATAAGAGATACTCTGCATATCTGGAGAGCAGAAGTTCAGCAGTGACTAATTTGTTTCCATGCTCAGAAGGTTGGGGCAGGCACTTTTGCACTCATGCACGTGGTCACTTTCCTTTTTCTAAGCTGTGCAGTACTCTGAACACATGAGCCTGTGGTCCCAGGAGACCCCAGCACAATGTAAACCACTTCCTTATCACTCAGATGTCTAGTGAGCAAGTCACTCAGGATTCAGGTGGATGGATAGGAAATTTCAATTTCTGTAACTTTAAAAAATCTACATGTGCTAGCATCCTTCTGGCTTAGGTTCTGTGGATCCAGAATGCTCCAGAGAAGAATTGGTAATATGAGCATGTTCATATAAAAATCACTCCTAAAGGATTATCTGGTTTCCGACAGAAGATTGGACTCATTTATATAATTTTGCTCCCTCCTGTAACTTCATTAAAACAATATTAAAGGATTTTTTTAATCATAAACTCACAGGCACAGGAGAACAAAAGAGAAGATAGCAACAATTAAACTTTGGTAGCTGGAGGTTACTGGATTAGCAGACCTGAGAGCCAAATCAGAAGCCAGCAATAAGGAAGATGCTTTAAACAACAGTCCTGATCAAGTTTTCCTCACTTCCAGGGTTGAGCACTCTCCCCAACCCATCACTGCTCAAATGTGTCTGGAACCAGCAGCCCCAGAGCCCTCTGCACTGCAGGCAGGCAAGGGTGAGGCTAAAGGAAAGGACTGGTGGAGTGTTTAAGAAGCCCTTCCCCCAACCCATGCCTCTGGATCTACCTCACTTCCACCTCTGCAGAAGCAGGTGTCTAGGTGACCATATATACCTGAGGAATGAGTGACCCAGAGACCCCTCGCCCTCTGTGTCCAGAATGCTGGCAGTGGAACTCTGAACTTCATATTAAGCCAGCTCTTTTTATTTTCCATTATCTGATGTTTTGACATGTGGGGTACTGCTAAAAGGACCATGGCTCCTAGGTCTTGCTAATTGCTAGAGACTGCAAACTTGTAATCCTCCTGCCTCAACCTCCCAAGTCACTGGTATTACACCAGACCCAGCTAAGATCCATATTTTAAGGCAACCCTCTATACAGGAACTGAAAGACTCTTCTTTCTGGACTCAGCCCAAGAAGGAAACCCCAAAGACACTTGATCCAGCGCTCCCCAGTGAATTCCACAGCTAAGCTCCAAGTTGACAAGGTTCACCTAAGCTGTCAGACTTCTATTGCCACTTTTTATCATGAACAGATAATCATGCAGGTCAAAAAAAAATGTAGAAGAAAACCTTTTTTGAAAAGGCTCTAATGAATATCTTCAGGGAGATAAGAGAAAAATACACTCATCAAACAAGAGCAGGATGCTACTTAAAAGAGGAAAACTCAGCAAACAAATAAATGGGCTTTTGACGATAGCAGAAGTGAAAATTTTTAATAGAAATGTTGGGGGCAGGGAGAGTTAAGAAAATCTCCGGGCTGGAGATGTGGCTCAAGCGGTAATGCGCTCGCCTGGCATGCGAGGGGCGCTGGGTTCAATCCTCAGCACCACATAAAATAAAATAAAGATGTTGTTTTAAAAAAAAAAAAAGAAAGAAAATCTCCAAGAGATTAGAGACTGGACAAGTATTATAGAATAAGAAAGAAAGAATAAAATTAGTGGACATCCAATCTATAAGTAAGAGGAATTCCAGAAAGTTGGAAAAGAAACAGAAAATGAAATTAGTTAGGAAACTTTCCCTAAAATGAAGTTCATAAATTGCAACATGAAAGGGCCCTCACATAATACCAATACAACAAATTCCAATCCATTATCTGTGAAGGAAAAAAGCTAAAAACCACCAAATCTAAAACATACCTTGCATACAAAGTATCATAAATCAAATCACAATGAGCTTCTTAACAAACAGCAATGCTTGAAGGGCTGCCTTCGAAATTCTGAAAGGAAATTGTTGCAATCCTAGAACTCTGTATTCAGCCAAACCATCATGTCTCTGGGGAACAAAATCATTTTTAGATCTGTAATTTTCAAACAAATATAAATTTAGTGGACCCTTTTTTGAGAAAGTACTGGAGGATGCTTTCTGGATAAAACACTAGAAATTTAAAAAAAAAGAAAGAAAACAAAGAATTTTTAAATGATCCAAAATAGTAGATAGGCAATTAAGATTCCAAGATAAATGATGCAGTAGGTACAGAAGACAACCAGTCAGATCAGAGCAGAGTGACTGCGAGACTGGCACATTGACAGCTATCATCACCAAGATTCCCACCACCACCTTTCACCTCCAAAGCACTGGATCTACTCAGGCCCAGATTGTGGGTTTGCCAATTTTGTCCACCTGCTGATGATGCTCTGAACTCTCCATCTCAGCCCCCACAAGGATGTTCTGCTTTGACTAGTGCCCAGAGCTGGAACCATCCTGAAGTTTTCACTCCTAACATAAAGTACCAGGAAGATAAAAATCGTTTCCAAACTCCCCTAAAATGTGCAAACCAGCACTACCAACACGTTAGCGCATTCAATTATTACAAAAGATAGCTTCTTTTCTTCTGTACATTCGCCCCACGGTTAAAAATTAGAATTTCCACAAATTGAGTTTAATGATCTAATTGGTTTTTATTAGCGACTCGTGAATCAGGTGGCATCCATCTACGAAACAGAAGGGCACTCTGCTGAGCAGAGCTGATAGGCTTTATAGGCAGAAAAAAAAAGCTGAAGAAAGCAAAAAACAAAAACAAAAATGCCAAAAGTGGACTGGTCATTTCAAAGTTACTTTCTTTGTAAGGGTGAAAGCAGAGGAAATTTTTATCAGACTAGCTCTGGGTGACAGGGCCCCTTTTAACTGGTCGCCAGGAATCTCCTGCATTTTTTTCGGAAAACTATAAAATTGGCTCAAAAGCTTGGTTTGGTGACATAGCACCTGGCATGAATGACTGCATTCAGATTTTGTCTGGATGGTCAGGCTTAGGGCAGGAGCTTCATCTAAACAATGGCCTCCTATGTGTATATTTTAATACCACCTTTCCTACTTTGGGAGGTTGTTTCTCCAGGCCACCAGGATCAGGTACCAAGAAAGCCAGAGACACTTAACCAAACACCCATCCAGACTCTGCACTCCCAGTTCAGAAGGGCCCAGCTAAACTCTTACATGGGGTTCTGTCCCTTTCCTCATTGGTATCAGGGAAAGATGGAAATGGCAGTTATGTTGATCACAACCAGCTGCTAGAAGAGGTCAATGGGGCCCAGGAAGTCAGCAGCAGAAGCTGACCACCTTAGCATCAAGCGCTGGAGAGAATCAATTAGACTCATTCAAAGTGTGGGATTTTTATGGTCCCTCACTCCACTCCTACTCTCTTGGTTTGCTCTCAAAAACCTGGCTGAGATAAGGATGTGGCGGGTAGGCTGGCTCTGATGCCTGCTTGTTTCTCAGGCTGAGTCGTCCACAGAGGCTCATTCTCTAGGCGAGCACAGTACTGCTATTCTGTAGCTCTGCAGCCCAGCTCCCACTCCAGCCTGGTCCCTGCACAAGAAACCCTCAACCCACCAGCCCCATCACCAGGCCTCCCACAATAGCCCAGGCTTTGAGGCTCTTGCATTGCCAATCTTTGGGCGGTCTCACCTTATCTGAACTCCCCCTGGACCTAAGCATTCTCTATCCATCATTCCTAGGGCCTTTCCACCATGCCCTCAGCTTCCAGGAACTCATCAGCTCTGGAAATCCAGGCAGACAGCAGAGCCAGGGGACAAACTTTAGCTTGTCCAACTCCAAAGCCCATGCTCATTCCAGACACTGACAGAAGACTTAGGAAAAATACTAGAAACAGTTGCTACAATATAATTCAGCAAGAAGAAAATACAGTCAGCCCTCCCTATCTACAGATTCACAGATTTAAGCAACACAAATTCAAAACACAGACGGAAAAATTCAGGAAAAAAAAATTGCAACTGTACTGAAATATGCACAAATTGAGTCTTGTTTACACGATGATGAAACCAACAAACGACATATTCCTCAGAGTATCGTCCATTGGTAAGCACAACTTGCCTGTACTATGCTAATTTATATAAAACACTTGAGTGAGTATCTGCAGATTTTGATATTCACAGGGATCCTGTAACCAACCCCCCACAGATACAGACACCAAGGGAGAACTATATACGACACAAAGCAAGGATTAAACTACTTGATCTAATCAAGACCTAACTGGAGGCCTATAAGGATTAAGGGAGGGACTAGAAGTGGGTGAGTTGATAAATTCATAAACCACCTATGCTCCAACTTGAGTTGGCTGGTGTATCAGTCAGCTTTCTGTCACTAAAGTTAGATATCTGAGGCAACTAACTTATAAAGAGAGAGGGTCCTTTTGGCTCACAGTTCTGGAGTTCCAATCCAAGATCAAGAGCCCTCATTGCTTGGGGCCTCCAAGGAGAGGGAGGGACTTCATGATACAAACTGCTCAGCTCATGAATCAGAAAACAGAGAAGAAGGAAGAGATGAGGATCCTATACTCTCCACTCCTTAGAGGGCACAACCCCAGTGCCTCAGGATTTCCCAATAAATCCTGCCTCCTACAAGTTCCACCACCTCTCTATGGGGCCAGCCTGGGGACCAAGGCTTTAATGCATGGGCTTTGGGGGGGGGGGGGACACTCTCCATATTCAAGCCACAGCAGGTGGAAGGAGGAATTGTGTGAGCAGGCCAGCAGGCAGCAGGAGGGCACTCAGGACATGGGTAAAGCATATTATCACTTCCATCCCCACCTGAGCGCTGACAATGTTTTCCCTTTCACCCATGTCTTCACAGTGAGGTTGTTAACACCAGGTATTGGCAGGGAAAAAGACCCAGGGTCCTGAGCAAGGGCTCTGTTTGCATGTCTATTGCCAAGAATCACCACCTGTGTCTTCCCTCTAGCGCTCACCCTTGGTTAGCATAATTGGGAGCCAATCACAGTTAAGCTTAATTTGCACCAGATGTGATTGGGCTACTCCTCAGGGGCTTCCTTGCACCCAAGGCCTCAGGAGATTGACCTCTGCTGCTCAGTCCTTGCCAACACCCCTGAGCCCCATCCGCCTTGAGTATCACGGAAGCCCTCCAGACACAGACACAAACATGGTGTCACTCCTCCCCTGGGACATTCAGTGGTAGGAAAGACCTGTGAAAACAAATTGTGCTGCAATTTGAGCGAGGACAACAGAAGTCCCATATCCACCAAGTCTAAGTCCCATGAAGACCTAGGCAGAGGGGCAAGGTTGGGAAAAGAATGAAGAATGTGTATTTTCCAAGGCAGCTGCTAACTCAAAGATCAGCTTTCATCTAATGAATTATCAAAAAAAAAAAAAAGACAATAAGCCTACTTACATTTAATTTTGTTTAAATACATGGTCTGGCATAAGATTTAATGATCCCATTTTCTGAAGAGTATTTAAAATTATAATTTTCATTAAAAGAATGTTTGTTGAGGTCCAATAAATCTATTGCATATGTGGGGAATTTTTTTTTTAATTTTACACATTAAATCTCCCTTTTGTAGCTCAAAACACTGGCAATAATTGTCTGATGGCAGCTTTATGGTACTGTAATGGGGACAGGACATCAAGTCCGTAGTAAGGCATTTTACAGTTAACAACATTGCCTATAGTTAGAAAAACTGATCAAGAGAAAAGAATGTTTGTTATTCCCATAATTGAAAAGAACAAGGCACATTTCATCTTCATTTAAGGGGAATGATTCTGTTAGGATATTTATGTGAAGCTGTCATCATTCTTTTTTATTATTCTCTCAGAGCAGCTTACAGGATCTCAAATTAAAGTTGAGAAGCCAAGTGAAAACTCAAAGATGAATGCTTGCTCTATCACTGAGGGCTATGGTTTATTCTGCTTCGACTACATTCCATTTTGAGTTTCTTTGACTGTTGCTCCCATTGCTTCTTCCCAACCCAATTCCCTGGTAATTATTTTGTGTTCTTGTTTACCACTTGTTCTTGCTTTCAGGAATGTGTGTTAGTCAGCTATTGCTGCATAACAAAACCCAGTCATTTAAAACAACAACAGTACTCATTGATCACCACTCAGATGTCTGCTGATTAATTGAGAGAGTCAGTGAATCTAAGATGGATTTGGCTAAACTGAGGGTCTGGTTGGGTTTGACTTTTCCCTAAGAGTTAGATTCAAGTCTCTTTCAGGAAGGGAGAGCAGCTTCTCCATGGAAAGATGAAGTTAAATGAAGATGTCAGGAAGGCAAATCCAAGACCACCAGTACATTTTAGGCCTGTACTCATCTTTGCTCCGCCAGTATCCCTTTGGTCAGCACAAGTCACATAACCAAGGTTAGCAAACATCCCTGGAGTTGAAAAATAAACTGTCTCTAGTAAGAGAAGAAAGGGAGTGAATTTTTCCTGAATAAATAATCGAAGCCAACACAATTTATCTATCACTTGCTTTGCAAGTTCCTGATCCCAAGGAGCTTGTTAAATGCTTGCATGACTTTCCCAAGATACCCCAGAAGTCTCACCCAGTCACAGCATCAGGTTTCAGATCTCATGACTACCTCATGTTCACATCTCCTCTTTATCAGAGACCAAGGACTACAGCTGGTCCTGAAAAATTATAAATAGTATAGAGAAAACATTGCCATCAGAAATTATCATTTGATTAGGGAATTGGTCTGTTCATCTACCCATCTTTTCACCTACCTATCTTTCTCCATGAATCTTTGGTCCACCTTGGGGAAGGTCCTTCCTTTTCTATTATCCTCCATGAATCAAATGGATGAGAGCATATGATAATCTGCCCTTTTAGAGCCCTTGACAGTTTTCCTTATCTCTTCCTGCCTGAAGCAAATTGGGAAGTCAGGGGTCTTCCCATCCTAAACTGTCTCCATCTCTTTCAGGCCAGGCTAGCAACACAAATGCTATCAGAGTCTCTCAAACAAGATTTTCCACGTTCTTGATTCCAGTTACCTCCATATGCCAACCATAATATCTTTTTTTTTCCCTGAGGCATGCCTTGCTCTGCAGACTTAATTCTGTATACTTTGGAAGAATCAGGCTTCTTCTGTGAGACCTCTCTCTCCACCTTCAGCATGTAGGTAGAACTTTTGTCCAGCTGAGGAGCTCTAAAAAGTGGTAAGTGTTTTCAGAAGTTTGGCAAAGCTGTGTCTTACTTTGAGAAGCTTTTACTGACCTGGATTGGTGATAATTGAAAAATAGTTTTCCTTTGTAACACTAAGAATTTCTGGACTTTCCATAGTCCTTTTGATTCTGTTGCCAAGCTAGAACATTCTTTCCTGAGCTTCTCCCTTCCTTTGGCAGCTTGTCAAATGTAGCCCAATATACAAAGGTAAGTATTGAGGCGTCCCTGGCATGGCAGTTACACTGTGAGGCAAGCAGGTCATTTTGGAACGCAGAAGGGAGTAGTACAAGTACCCAGAACGGGGGGGGGGGGTCTCCAAAAAGCTGACATCAAGGTAGATTCTTCAAAAATGAGCAGGAATCAGTCTGCTAGGGAAAACAGGGAAGGCACAGCACAATAGCACAAAAGGGTGGCAGCTGGGACATTCAGAGAAACTGTCACATGTTTAAATCAACACCATCAATGCTCACTGAGGGTTGGACCAGGCTTATACTAGACCAGGATGGAGAAGTCAGCCCTGATCCCAAGGAGCTTGCCAGCTAATCCAAAAGGAAGAGTGACCAAGAGATCATTCTTATGGAGGTCAGTGCTCTGAGAGGGAGGCAAGAGATCTGGGGGAACCCAGGTAAGGGGCTTTTCCCCAGAGGCCATACTCTCATGTCAGTCTTGCAAGAAAAGTAGTAGAAATGGATCAAGCAGAAGAGGCAGGAAAGGTACTGGACAGCAGGACCTGCACAAACAAATGCTCAAAAGTTGTCCCTGCCTGGCATCTGTGGAGAGGTCAGTGTGTGCATGTGTGTGAATGTGTATGTCTCTGTGTATATGCCAGTGTAAATGTGTGCCCATGAATGTATGTGAATGTGTGTGTCCTTGTATTTGTGCATGTATGTGCAAGTACACATGTGTGTGTGCAAATATGTGTGTCTCTATGTCTGCACGTGAATTTGAGAGTGCTTTTAGTGTGGGTGGGTGTGAATGTGTGTGAGTGCACTCCCACATGAGGTATGCATTTCTGTGCCTGCATGTGTGAATGTGTGTGTGTCTGTGTGAGTGCATGTGCAACTATGAGTGTACATGCATGTGCATGCCTTTGTGCTTTGTGTATCTTGGGCAGAGGGGGTACTAACTGCAATGAG